TTTTTGTATTTAAAAAAGTTCAATGACCTTTTTGGACCTTTGGCAAAGTTTAGTAACCATTTGGGCTATTAACTCCTATATTTATTACTAATTTGTAATTTTTTGAAATTTTGGGGTATTAGTTACAATTAATTCTTTTGTTTTCTATTCTATTCTTTTTCTTTTATTTGAATAGAGGGCAAAATCGTCAAAAAACAGTGAAAAGGACCTTCAGTGCAAGAAAGGTGGTAAATAAGGGCAAAAATGCCAAAAAATGAAAGATAGGGACGTTTTCCATAATAACTTCGAAAGGTAAGGATGTTTTGTGCCAATTACCCTTTTTTTTTTCCCTGTTTTTAGGTTTAGTAATTATAGTCCCATCCAGGGGTATATATATTCCTCACCAACTGTCACTTACCCCACCGAAAATAGAAAATAGAAAATAGAAAAATAAATTTAGTACAGACAATAAAGCAGAAGCCATTTCTCAAATTTCGACAACATTTTCAGAAACAAAGGTTAATTTCTTGGTACAATAATGGCTCTACAGCCCCCACTCCTGCACCACGTACTTCTTCTCCTCCTTTCCTCTGCCGCCGTCATCTCCTCCCTTTCGCATCCTCCCACTACCAATGTCACAACCATCTCCCCCACCCATTCTCCCTCTGCTCCCACCCGTTCTTCCACCCCAACTCCCAAAACACCCACCAAGCCTGTTTCCACTTCCGCATCTACCCTTGACCCAAAACAACTCAGAGCCCTCGAGTCCCTAAATATCCCAACCTCCAAAGATCCCTGCTCCGTACGGCCCCACATCTTCACCGCCACCACCTGTGACTCCTCCAAGCCCTTCCGCCACCTCCTCTCTCTCACTCTCTCTAACTGCTCAGACGATGTAACTTTATCCCTTACTGCCCTCAAGTCCCTCTCCACTCTTAACACCATCCAGTTCATCAACTGCCCCATTTCCCCCATTCGCTTCCCCTCTGAACTTACTTCAAATCTCCGTTCCTTCACTTGCGTCAACAGCCTCGACAAACTCACTGGGATTTGGCTTAGCAGGCTACAAAATGTATCTGATTTAACTGTTTCTCAAGTGAGTATAACTGCCAGTGGCCCTTCAATTATCCTCAACAGCATGAAATTCTTGCATTCGGTCAATCTTTCACACACAAATCTCACTGGCTACCTCCCTAAACATTGGCATCCGAATCTCACTACTATTGATTTATCGGGGAACAAACTCAAAGGAAAGATACCTCTTTCCTTAACACGCCTTGAAAATCTTGTACACTTGAATCTGTCATCAAATTCCCTCAATGGAACAATTCCCACTACCTTTGGGGACTTGACTGCGCTGCAGAATCTTTCATTAGCGTCAAACTCATTGTCGGGATCGATTCCAGAATCTTTAGCTGCAGTGCCCGGTCTAATGCACCTCGATCTGGGGTCTAATCAGCTCAACGGTACGATCCCAAAGTTCATACAAGACATGAAGAAATTGAAGTATTTGAATCTTGAGAAGAACAGTTTCCATGGAGTTCTCCCTTTCAATGCAACATTTATAAAGAGATTGGAGGTGTTCAAGTTGGGTAACAATTCCAATCTTTGTTATAACCATTCAACATTGGGCTCAAAAGTAAAGCTTGGGATTGCGCCTTGTGACAAACATGGATTGCCTATGTCACCACCATCTGCTAAGGACTCATCTGACAATGATTCTAGCGACAGTTCTGATGATGAAGATTACAGTAATGCAGGTGAAAAGCATCATTCCCATGGGCCAAGTAAGATTGTTCTTGGTGTAGCAATTGGACTTTCTTCAATTATCTTTCTCATCGTTTTCTTGGTTCTTTTGTCCAAATGTTGTAAATAATTTCGAAACCCAAATGATTTCTTGGTTTATTTAGCTTAGGAAAATTCTGGGAGTTCTGATTTGAGATTATATTTATTTCGTATATCATATTATTTGATTAAGACAGAAACATAAAAAAAAGGAAAGGAGATCTCGATTGTGGGTGATTCTTTTTTTACTTTTTGATTTAGGTACTGGAATGTGATTAAACATAGCGGGGAAGTGGCTAATTTTGTATCAAAATATTTTCATGGTTCTAAGTTTTCTTTTATCCTTATTCATTTGTAATCTGTATTGTTCTTGAGATGTCAGGATTTGCTTTTATTAAACCTTCAGCCTTTTATTTGTGTCTTTTTCTCAATTCAATTATTCCTTTTTGAAGCCTTTAGTATCTTTAGAATCCATGGGAACTTGGTATTATAGTCCATGTTATAAGTATTTTTAACCTTGTGATTGAGGCCTACGTGACAGCTGTTTCACTGAAATGAGCATGACTCCTAACTAATTGGTCGGTGGACTTGTTAGGAATGCCTTAATTGGCATTTGACTAAGTAGTTTTGCATTAAACATTATCTGGGCTTGCACTATCAATTATACAGATTGGTCAATATACAAATGCTGATCTTGTTTTGTGATCAAGTGAATGCAAGATGGTTAGATTGTGTGATTGCGTCCTGCTGCACTAAACGATCACCTGAAGTTCACCCTCGAGCAGGGATAGATTTAGGATTGGATCCAAGACCGGGCTATAAAATTTTAAATTGGACTACTACCAAAAAAAAAAAAAATCTTTAAAAAAAAGTTGTTGGGCCTGAAGGGGGGGGGGGGGGGAGGGGGGGGGGGCAGGGCTGTAGTCCCCTCCCCCAAATCCGTCCCTGCCCTTGAGTATATGTGAAATTCATCTTTATATGAAACACTAAGTTCATTGTTAACTTTTCAGGTAGAGCATAAGTTAAGTTCTTTGGCATTAGGTTTCTCGCATTAATGACATCAATCTGCTGTTTTTCTGGCTAGTCCATCGACAGATTCGTTCCTGAAAAGGGTAAAATGGGAGTTTCTTGGACATATTCCTGGAAAAATAAAAATGATTACTAAGTTTAAGGGAGGCCGGATTCGGTTTTTCTCAGTTACTTTCAATCTTCATTCATCCATTTACATGGTACCCACTTTATTAGAGATGGGTTCGATGTGGATTTGGCTTCAATTGGTGGTCAGTTATTAGGAGTGGAATTTGAATGTGCGAAATGTTCCTTGTACATGAAACAAGTGATCAAGAGATAGATATTCAGTTGGTTTTAGAATATTCAAAATCAGTTTCAGTAGAACTATAACAGACAGTTAATGACAATGTCCATTGAAATTAGTTTTATGATCTGCCCTCCAAATCTAGATGCTACCATTGGATTTAACTTTTACTTGTGATCATCCTTGCCAGAAGATTTAGTTTCAGATCTACTGAAATTGTTTCTTAAGGATCTTATTTTCCTTCCAATATCTAGTAAGGTGAAACTCAATATGTATGAATAGAAAAAGACTTGAATATGTTCTCAGCAGTTGAAGTGTGATTCAAAGTATGGTTCTGAATAGTAATTTTTCTTCTGGTGCGAGGTTTTACTTTGCAAAAATCTTCTCTTTCCCTCCTGATCGTGTCTTTTTGGCAAGTGCTTCAGGTTTGGAGTATGCTTCATTATTTATGTGTTTGTAGCTCATGAACTGAGTATCTGAGTATATTGGTGTGCATGTGCTCGGGCATCTGCTTTTTGTTCGAAAGAATTAAGTTAGTTATTTCGTTCATCCATACGTGTGGAGTGATGGGAAACGGGGAAAAAAAAAATTGAAAAGATAGTAAGTGGTATGATGGTTATGCATTGTGTGATTACTAAGGCATATACATTGCCTTTGTATCTTTAGGGTTCGTTTGATTGCAAAAATAGAATTTGAGTGGAAAGAAAACAAATATAGGGAATTGAATTGCTTACAAATTGTTTTACTGGGAATTGTCCATTTTGTCAAGTAAAGAAAATCATCTATCTTTTAGTGTTCGTTTGATTTTATTTTACATGGAAATATTGTCAATTAAAGGAAACAAATTTTAAAATTAAGGATAGAATTTGTTCCCATTGTCCAAAAAAAAAAAATGGAAAGAGAGAGAGAGAGAGAGAGAAAGTTAACTATTAGAAAACCAAGAAAATTCCACTTTTCAAGAAAATCAAATTCCATGGAACAAATATGCTATAAACATGGCCTTATTTCTTTTCATGATAAGGAATTTGATTTTGCAGCCTACAATAATCTCACTTCACGTAATACTTTTTAGAGTAATTTAATGAACAGAATTTATATTTGAACTTGATTGAAATACCCCACTTCTGAGTATAATTTAACTAATAGCAGCTTATAATTTTTCGAGTAGAGAGGATATTTTTTCCCGCAAAAGTTGGTAGACCTATTAATTACTAGTATATTGTCCATGAAAACTCCATATCCGGTCACACCCCCATTGCGAGTTTTTCAAAAATTGAACCCGTCCAATCGAAACATAATGGTGGATAGTAACACGGCCAATCAGCTCTACGACCCCCTTTTCTTTTGCAACCCTCGAATTAATTAATAATCCTAACGATCACCATCCTCCCCACCATTGTTGGTATTAAATATCTCTCCTCCTATGTTGCCATCTATCCCTCCAAAACCATTATCATCGATTTCCAAGTTTAATTTTCTTGTCTCATCTAATATCAAGAGTGAAATTTGATGGAGGCTAATTTTTTCCCTCTCCAAACAATCACTCAACAAATCGGGAATAACCACCATCACTTTGTGACTTCTAATCTGACCCATGAGTTCCAGGGACTGCAATCCAACTTCAGTTTGCCTTTTGAAAACTGGATTATTGGCTTTTTCGACAGCCAGCAGTCCTGCAGTCGTTCCAATCGCTCGCGTACCGTTCTGGAGGGAGCTTGGTGAAAGTGATGTGGTTTGAGAGCTTTGCGAAGGAATTAAATGGCCTGGAGTTTGCTTATGGGCCAATTGATTTGAAAGGAAGCGTTGGGCCTATATTATGAAATTAAAGATGTCACCAGTTGGGCTTGCTCCCTAATAAGGCCCAGTCCATGTGGTTGAGTATGGCCTAATTTCTTGTCACTAGACAGCTCTAAGTAATCAATTATTTTTCCATCATTCTTTTCTCAATTCGGTCAATTCACAGAGATTCATTCCACGACCTGCTCCGATCTCTTCTCCTCCTCCTCCTCCGACGATGATGGTGAGATCTCAATTGATCTACAATCTTCTACGGTTATCTTAGGTCGATTCTTGCTGCCTTCATTTACCCAGATATCCTTAGATGGAGGTGGCAATTCAGATGTGTAGGTGGTTTTTAGTGAAGTAGCGACTCGTCCATTCCCCTTCCTTTCATGTTCCTCCTCCGGTGCCGATGGTTCTTTCTCTGGCTTTCTGCTCTCTGTCTTCTATTTCAGCTCATCACATTGCTTCTAGGATGAAAATTCTGTTGGAAAAAATGGTTAATGGGTCAACTTTGAGCCCAAATTTCAGTGGGACCCACCTTTTAATTAATACGGGACCTAGCATATTCACGTTCTACTCCGCGAGATGATTAACGTGATATATTTATTTATCGAAAACTGTTTAAAATTGAATGAAATATTAAGTGTTAAAGTAACCCACATAAACTAAGGATTATGGAAGAATTTGATTTTCCAAACACTTATCCCACATAGGAAAGTTAGGAAACTTTGGTGTGGTTTATAAGGTGGAAGTTTGAAATTGGGGTTTGGGCCCCAAGGGGTGCCAATAGTCTTTGGAAGGGGGAAGACCTATATCCTATTGGATTCGGTCATAAACCTACACGCGCGTGCCGCCGTCGCCTTCCGTCCGACCGGCCGGTCGGCTCGGCTCGGCTCGGCATGGCACGAGCACGTGCATGTTTCCGAGTTCGGTGCGGGTGGACCTTTGCACTATATTAATTTTTTGGACAAAATTTATTTAAAATTTTGGGCCAAATTGTAAATAATCAAATTCTTGGTACATTATGAAATTTAAATTTTGGATCATTATTCCGGGGTGTTTTATTTTCTTTTAACAGTCGTCTGTTTACCGACCAAACAGTCGACTGTTTACCGACCAAACAGTCGACTGTTAACCGACTTAACAGACATGACTTTTAAGAACAACATGTTTGTTCGAATGTTTGAGGTTTGTCTGAAAGGTGATGACTGTTCGAATGGCCACGAACAAGTCTATAAATAGCCTGCTTCTCTACCAGAAAATTTACACCATTTTCATTGCAAACTTTCTGTGCGTTGAATCTCATTTCCCTCTTTCTCTCGTTCTGATATTGTCTCGAAGTAAAACACACTTCGTTGAGTTCGTTAGAACTCCTGCAGATCGCAGTGCTGCTTTCGTAGGAGACGAAAATTCGTTCTATCCTGAGAAACGATTGCTGGACGCCTTTAGCACCATTGAAGGCAGCGAATTCATTTTAAGGAAATATCGTGAAATCGGTGGGCTCGAATTATAATTTTGGATCCTGTTGATCAATTATTATATTCAGGTGATTCTGTCGGATTGTTTTTCGAAGGAGTAACTTCAAACTCCAAAAACAACAATCTTAAAACAAATTTTAAATAAATTTTGTTTTTGTTTCTACTCCTTCTTACCGTTGATCTTCTGATTGTGATTCAGAAATGGCAACTTCTGGTACCACACTCCCGAATACGACCGGGGAAAAACCAGAAAAGTTTAATGGGTCAGATTTCAAGCGTTGGCAACAAAAAATGCTTTTTTATTTGACGACATTAAATCTGGCTAAATTTCTCAAAGAAAGCGCGCCTCATATACCGAGCAAGACAGTGATGCTGAAAAATTGGCTGCGTTGATGCATGGAAGCATTCTGATTTCTTATGCAGAAATTACGTACTTAATGGACTGGATAACACATTATATAATGTGTACTGCAATGCCAAATCTGCAAAAGAACTGTGGAAATCTTTGGACACAAAGTACAAAATCGAAGATGCCAGCACGAAGAAATTCATTGTCAGTCGTTTTTTGGATTATAAAATGGTTGACAACAAGACTGTCATATCCCAAGTTCAAGAACTTCAGATCATACTTAGCGACATCCATGCCGAAGGAATGAAACTAAGTGAATCATTCCAAGTCGCTGCACTAATTGAGAAATTACCACCTTCATGGAAGGATTTCAAGAATTATCTAAAGCACAAGCGGAAGGAAATGAAACTTGAAGATATCATTGTCCGATTGAGAATAGAAGAAGACAATCGCAAAACGGAAAAAAGGAATGGTGCATCTAATTCGG